GTAAAATATTAACTATAAATAGTAGCAAAGCCATTAATGCAAAAAAGAAAATCTTAAAAACTCCAGCTAGTATTAAAGCTCCTGTTAAATATACTGCACCTGAGATTACTTCTTACTCTCCAAAATCAAAGATCTGAAAATAGATATTTAAAAAAGCAAATTTTGGAAATCAGGCAAGCCATTGAAAAAAATGCAGTATCAGTTGGAGAAAACATCCATCAAGATCTTCAAAAAATTATCAATAGTTTCTCAGAAAAGGTAAATTTAAATAGAGAAGTTTCGCCTTTCATGAAATTATTCCTTTCAGAACAGTTAAAATATTTAACAGAACATCCATCTCAAACACGATACCATCCAATGGTAATAAAATACTCTTTAGCTTTGTATGCAAAATCTCCAGCTGCATATGATCTTCTGCGTTTACAAAAAGGTGGAAAAGGTATACTTGTTTTGCCTTCTCAACGCACTTTAAGAGACTATAGAAACTACATCAAACCACAAAGGGGTTTTAATAGTCAATATGTTCAGGAGCTTGCTAAATTAGTTTCAAACTTTTCAGCACTTGAACAATACATTATGAACAATACATTCTTTTGATGAAATGAAAATTCAAAATGACCTTGTGTGGGATAAGCACACAGGTGATTTAATTGGTTTTGTTGATCTTGGTGATGATGATCTTACTCAGGCAACTTTTGAAAAAACTGATACTTTAGCTTCACATATTTTAGTTTTTTTTATTAGAAGTGCAATGAATCCCTTCTCTTATGCTTTTGCAAGTTTTGCTACTGATAGTATTATGTCATTCCAGATTTTTCCAATATTTTGGCGTGCTGTTGCAATATTAGAAAGAACATGTAAATTAAAAGTTTTAGCTGTGACTTGCGATGGAGCTTCACCAAATCATGCATTTTATAAAATGCATATGAATAATGACAACAAAGCAAATGGTATAACATATCGCACAAAAAATATTTATGCCGATGATGAACGATATATATGGTTTTTTTCTGATCCTCCTCATCTTATCAAAACATCAAGAAACTGTTTGAGCAACTCTGGATCTAACCGTTGTTCAAGATATATGTGGAATAATGGAAAATATCTTCTCTGGAGTCATATTGCTAAGTTTTACTATGAAGATATGGAATGTAATTTAAATTATTTTCTTAAAATTATGTAGTTTAAATTATTTTCCTAAACTTATTCGAGACCATATAGTATTAAATGCATACTCTGTTATGAACGTAAAATTAGCAGTTCAAATTTTAAGTGCTACAGTTGGCAATACATTGCTTGAATTTGGGCCAGATGAAGCTTCTGAGACAGCAAATTTCTGTCTGTTAATGGATAAATTTTTTGATTGCTGCAATGTCACAAACACTAAAGAGTACCTCAAAAATCGTAAAGTATTTTTGAAACCTTATACCGTTCAGATGAAAGGTTTTACTGGTTAAAAAACACTTTTCTAAAATATTTTGTAGACTGGAGGGAAAGCATAGAAAAAAGGCCAGAAAAATTTTCTAAAAAAGAACTTAATAAAATGTTCATATCAAATCAGACATTTGAAGGTCTATCTAGAACGGTAAACTCCTTAGTTGAATGCGTTCAATACTTACTAAGCAAAGGATTTTTATACGTATTAACTGAAATATTTTGTCAAGACGCATTGGAGAACTACTTTGGTAAGCAGAGAACTAAGTATTATAAACTGGAACTATAATACTCTTATAAATATGGTTTTTCTATACATCTGCAAAGATTGATAAAATACTGATGAGAGGAAATATGATTGTAAATCTCAGCTATCGCAAATATTTTTCTTGATCTTATTTGATTTTTTTTAATGATGATCGTAAAGATTCTGCTTTTGTTATTTTTTTGTTGTTTTTGAATTTTTCTTTTATTTGCTTTGTGTGTGAATGTGAACGAACACGAATAAAAAGCATCACTATATGATATAATAAAGTTTTAGCAACTTCTTTGTCTATTTCTGTTTCAGGAAGGTCACATATTTGATAAAAGCAGGACTTGTTAAAACAGTTATTTAATAATTGTGAAACCAATACTTTACTGTCAATTTTTTTAAAATTTACGCTAGTATGTATTCTAAATTTTTTTTCACATTCACTAAAAATATTTATTACTAGTGTATTCATTTTCCACAATCCACCTCTATCTCTACTATCTACAAGTTTTTGTTCCTCTTGAGTTTTTGATGAAAGTATAATATCAAGCCATTGTCCAGACATTGCACCATCGTTAATTTTTTTATTTCTCAACTTAGAGTACAGTTTTTGAAATACATAACCTGCAATATATTCTAAGCATCTTATGTCTTTTTCAGAGAGATTTATTTCTAGATTCGAATCTTCACCAATGAGTTTAGATTCTTTTGTAATCAAAAAATTTAGACATAATGTTGTTAATTCTGCTAACAATAAATAATATAGTTCCTTTGGTATTGTTTTTATCGCAACTGACTCAGTTGTATACTTATGGTGGAGTGAACAATAAAATTTTTCGGCATTGCCTTTAAATTCATGCATTTCTTTTAAAAAAAAAGATTCAACTTGTAAATACTCAGATTCAGTGACAACCATGTTTTTAAAACATTCTCGATCTTCATTACAAAAACAATCATCTGTTGACAGTTTATGTCTTGCGTTATTCAATAGATCTTTGAATTGTGTACTTTGAATACATAATTGTATATTTTTATTTAAATCAACTGATTCACTACCGACAACCTCGACAAGGTTGTCAGTAGGCACAAGTTCTTTGTGCTTAGAGTTTATATGCCTTTTCAGACCACTAGTTGTTTTGAATACCTTCGAGCAATCACTACAATTTAAAGTCTCTTTACATTCTTCTAAAGCTGCTATTTCGATTTCTTGATAAAATGAATCGCTTTCAAACTGATCTGTTTCTATCAAACTCAAAAGAACTTGCAACTCTCCACTTTCCATGATTCACTTTAATGTTTGTTTTGCATTTTCAGCGGGCCGAAAGTACAATTTTGACATAAAAGTTCAAAATCAATTGTTACGGCCCGTGTTTCCAGACTATCTATTCTTGTGACTATGGTTAGACGATATTTCGTTTCTATTTGCTTTGCATGAAGTTCGGAAAGTCAAACGAAAAAAATTAGTTTGAATAATCACGTCGAAATATATTTAAAACAAATTATTTTAATGACGGGGGTTCTAAAGTTTTTTATAACAAATGTAGGTAAAAATATAAATAACTAAACAAAAAGTTCAGTATTAAACACCATTTCTTTATTCTATTGCAACTGTAAATATTGAATTATTAACTTGAATTAAATTTACTTATTATTTAGAACGACTAAGCAATAAAAATAAAATGCCCCTAAAATTATGCGAGATTGTGTTGTTTATTTGATAATTGTTGTTGGTAATGTTGTTTATGTTGATTATTTTCATAAATATCAAAATAGTTCCAGATTAATCTGTTCGTTGCTTTGCTTATTGTTGATTTATTTCTAATTTAATTTTATCTCAAACTATAATTATATGTTAAAAAAGAAAAGTTTTTATTTCATCGGGCGCTCTTTTTATAAAAGAGTAGAACAAAAGAGAAAGAAAAGTTTCGCGCAATTAAACTATGAATGAATAAGAGTTGTATAGAATATATATTTTTTTTGCTGCACTTATTCTTTTTTTAGATGAGAGAAATAAAAGTTTAATAGTAAATTTTCTTTGAATAAATGAGAATTGGAAGAGAAAGTTGCTTGAAAATTTGTAATTGTTAATTGTGTTTTTAAAAATTTTTAATTTTTCATGTTAAGAGACAAATGCCAATTACGACACAAATTTGGAAATACCAAATATAATGTTTTTTAATCCGCGTTATGACATTTTAACAATTTAAATTACCATCTATCTTGAATTATTGCCTTTAATTAATGTGTTAATTATTGCGTTATTTAATAATAATTTGTCCGTATTTTTGTTAAATATTAGTTGTATAAAACGGGCGAAAATATACAAACTTTATGTTTTTATTTGATGGTTATAAAATATTGAACAGTAAACTTATAATCAAAATTTCTAATGCCGACTTGTGTTGCAATTAATTGTACTTTTAATGCAAAATCAGGATGTCACAAATCCTTTCACGAATTTTCATATCTGATACTACTGTCAACTGTATTGTTTAGTGTATTCTTGTACTTTTTTTTCATATGCTTAACAGGTTCTAATTGATATAGAGTTGCTGACACTTTAAAAATTTCATTATCAAAAATCAAATGTAAAATAAAATGGTATTTCCTTTTTATCCGTATCCAATTCAGCAAATTTAGCAATTTAAATTAAATCAGCGTGATCAAAAAAATTTTATAATAAAAAAAGTTAACAATTCATTAAATATCTCTAATTAATACTTTCAGTTTATGAAAGTAATTGTTAATAAATACTTTTTTTCGACGGGAAAACAAAAAATTGTCATAGCGTAAAAATAACCAGAGAAGTTAGAAAATAGTTCCCATTGTTTAAATAAAAATAATTAAGAATCAGAATATATAATGCTGCGCTCTCTTGCGCAAAAACAAGAGACCGTATATAAAACGTTCTATATAATGTAAAATACTCGTATGAAAATCATGAGATTGGTAAGTAAAGCTTTAATATTTGTTTTAATTTAAATAATTAAAGAAATATAAGTAAGATATATAAATCTAAAAATTATTAAAATATCTGTAAAAAATAAATTGCTCCTATAAAATAAAAATAATTTATTGTTTTTACTTTTTACAAAATTTTTTTTGCGATGTTTGGAAAAATAATACAAATAAATTTGTTTTGCTGTAAGTTAAAAAAATACTAAAGTAGAAAAACGCAGCTTAGTTTAATTACACTTTTCTTTTGTTAAAAGTCTACCGTGACGTCAAATACTAAAACTTTTATGAATTAAACGCGCTTCAAAGGAATCGCCAAAGTCTGTAGATTGCGACGCATAATTTGAAGACTCCGAGTAGTTGAAAAAAATGGAGAAGACGAGCTTCGGCAAAAACAACAACATTTGTTTTTCACGGTATGCATTCATTATTTATTTTTAATCAAAAAAATTTGGTTCAAACCTTTTTTTTTAACATTATCTTTAATATGAACACAACATGTGTTGGGAGTTTGGGATCCCTTTAAAATACATAGATAACATTACATTATATATTTGATTAAAATCTTTGATACAATTAAAATACTTTAGAAACAATTTTGACATAGTTATGGGTCAACAATATATTAATTTGAATAGAAAACTTGTTAACTATTTATTAAATGTTGAAAATCAACAACACTTGACTTCAATCGTTTAGCATAGTCTGGGTGGCTTTGTCGTCTCTTACACTTAATCCATGTCTTTTTAAACTCATGATGAACAGATTCACCTGCTTGTTCAGAGTAAATTCCAAGTCCATTATCAGTATTGGTACTTTTTAGAAATGGTACAATATGGTTTACTGCAATGTGAACTTTCCATGGTATATTCAAAGAAATATTATGAAAGTATTAATATATTCCATTAAATTAGCATAAGACATTTTGAATTCGAAAACTACAGATTCAATATTACCAATAATTTTTTCTCCAAAGGTAGCTTGCTTCATTGCTTGAAACTTTTTCAAGCATTCAATTACCGGCAATAATTCGAGCTTTCCTTGATCAGCAATATCACGAGCAAAGACATCTAACTTATTTAAAAGCCTGTTGGCATTGTTGCCATCAAATCCAATTCCATGGTAACCTCTGAAAAATATGTAATTTGAGTTTAACCACTTTTTAAAGCCAGGCCATAGTTTTGATAATAGTTTTCCAAAAGTTGTAACTATTCCAATCAATGTATGCGAATAAGGTACTGGAGCTAAATTTTTTATAATTTTGTCTGGATCCTTTTCAAGATATAATAGTGTTGGATTAATAACATTTTTATAATCAGCCATCTTTGATTTTGGTTTTCCAGCTTCTGTGTATTTAGTGTGATGATAATCGAGGAAATGAAGAGTTAGTTTTCCTCCACCATTCAAAAGACTCTCTCCTTCACACCACAAACAACTATATTTTTTAGCATGGCTTGTAATGCCAAACATTGAGTTTGCACACTTTAAATCAAATGCAATAGAATACTTAATATTTTTAAGATGAGGAGTATCAACTAATTTTCCATTGTGTTCAGACACTCCTTCTACAAAAGCAACAATAAAAACAACGCTTAACTCCAGCATCATCAAGGTCAGGTTGGTTGCTAGTTTTATCCTGCGGATTAAAAAGATTCATAGTGACCTTTAAAAAACCTTGACCAGAATCCACAGCAACTCTTACAATTGTAGAAAGAGGGTCAATATTCCTTTAAGTGATTATATTATGGATAAATTCATCAATATCCTTTATATAAACCATTGATTTATTTACTATATCGCCAGCTTTAAATTTTTTTTCTTCTTTACATGAAAAATAGTCCTTCATTTCTGCTTTTAAAGCCTCTAATTTTTCAATAATATTTCCTTCTATGCTATTTTGAAAGCCAAGAATTTTTCTAAATATGGAACACATTTTTTTGGTTTTACACTGAGATAGTTCTAAACATTTTATAAGCTCAATAATTGTTCCAAAAGACACTTGACTAAGATTAGCATGATCACATTTATTCCCCATAGTTCCAGCTACAATAGTCAATGGTTTCCCATGAGTAGCAATTGTGAATTTTTCACCTCTAAAAATATTTTCCTTTTCTATTTTTATTTTTAAAATACTTGAAGCGACACGTTCTGCACTTGCTGATCCCAATGCATATGCTGCATTAACTAAATTTTTCACGCTTGAATATCATTACAAAGATGAATAATGCCTGATTTAACAACTCCATAACATTTTAGGCACATCCTTTAATTTTTATCTTCTTTAGACTCAGAAGTAATAATGTTAATATCTTTTGATATTTCTGAAACATCTGAAGTTCTTCTGATATCTTGACGGTTTATTTAAACAAATAAATCCAAAATTAAATAAACTAGTAATATAAAAAATATAACACATAATAAACACATCAATAACATATTAGTCCTTATATATAGGAATTTTAAACAGCTTGTTATATATAACAAGCTGTTTAAAATTTTTTAAATTTATAAAGGTTCTTTGAATCATTCAATTAATCATCAAAAATAAAGAGCTGAGACACAATAAATCAGTTTTACATCATTAGCATCAGCCATTCAGTTTTACATCATTAGCAGAAGTGGAATTGATCATTTGGTTAAATCAATTTTAATTTTGACTGTCGATGGTGGCCCTGATGAAAAACAAGATACCGAAAAGTAATAAAAGTTGCAGTGCACTACTTTTATTCAGCATGATTTTGATGTTTTATTTCTTGTTACAAACGCTCCTGGAAGAAGTGCATTTAATAGAGTTGAAAGAAAAATGGCACCACTTAGTAAGGAGCTTGCTGGATTGATATTACCACATGACCACTATGGTAGCCATCTGAACGAGAGAGGTGTTACAATCGATGTCAATTTAGAGAAGACAAACTTTAAGTTTGCTGGGACCACACTTGCTGAACTTTGGTCAGGCTTGGTTATCGATAATACACCCTCCTCCTCCCTAGTATTATGTGAATACAATCAGTAACTATTGCAACCATTTTAAAATATACCGTTGACCGAACGGAAAATTTTGAAATTAGTCATCGTTTTTAGGACTGTAGGACTCCTTGTTTATTTTACATCTTTAGGACTCCTTGTCAAATTTTGTTACTTAAATGCCCATAATATTTTGTAGAATGATCCAATTTCTATGAAATTTTCACTTCTGTAGTATTAAGTTTATGCGCTTTTTAATGATAATTAATATTGTAATGTTTAAACAATTAAAAATTTTTACTCACATATTTAAAGACTTGGATCACAACTTTTAAAACACTTGAGTATTAAATATGCTCGGATGTTTGCAGCACTGATAACATTTGAGACACGAATTTTGTAATTTAGAAAAGAGTAATTTAGATAAATCTTGTAATTAAGATAAACCTTAGAAAGTCAAAGTGTCATGACACTTTTTCTAAAACCTGTATAAGATTTATCTAAATTACAAGATTTATCCAAATTTGTACAAAAACTCAACGCTTTTTCACTTTTCGTTTCTGACGTCAGAAACGAAAAGTGAAAAGCGATAAGTTTTTGTGTAAATTTATTGAATGTTGCGGTATATTAGATACATAAATTTATAAACTATATTATAATATAATACAACTTTAAAAAATAGAATATAATATAATATATATATATATATATATATATATATATATATATATATATATATATATATATATATATATATATATATATATATATATATATATATATATATATATATATATATATATATATATATATATATATATATAAGGCCGGCGCGATAGGGGGTGTGGGGGGGTGCGACACCCCCCCATCAATGATTTTTAGTCGGCAAACTGGACCCTTAGTCGGCAAATCGGACCTTTTTAGACTAGTTAGTCGGCAAATGTCGACCCTCTCGATATAGGTTAGACAGTCGGCAAATGTCGTAATGACAGTCGGCAAATTTTGGAAAACGAGAACCTTACTTTTTCTTTTTTTTTTTAGTCGGCAAAAGTTGTAATGGTACCCCCCCCTCCCCCACGTGACACCTACTCGCGCCGGCCCTGTATATATATATATGTATATATATATATATATATATATATATATATATATATATATATATATATATATATATATATATATATATATATATATATATACTCATATAGTGTCGCTTTAAGAGCATTTTAATGTAAAAAAAGTCTCTTACGACTACAATTTTAATTACCTCGTCTCTTAAGCTGTTTTTGATTGTCATCGAAATGTCAAAGCAATTAATTTATGCGGAAGTACATTAAATTTAATTGTTTTTTAAAAAATTTTTAAAAAACCGCAATTATAACGACTAGAAAGTTTTTTTTAATTAGTGGTGTTTTTGTTATTGATTTAATAAAAAACATTTTTTAAACATGCGTAAATGTTGCAACATCGACTATCTTATAGCCTGACTCGCAACAGAGTGCTGCTACATCGACTGACAAATAGCCTGACTCGCAACGGAGTGCTGCTACATCGACTGACAAATAGCCTGACTCGCAACAGAGTGCTGCTACATCGACTGACAAATAGCCTGACTCGCAAGGGAATGCTGCTACATCGACTGACAAATAGCCTGACTCGCAAGGGAGTGCTGCTACAACGACTGACAAATAGCCTGACTCGCAAGAGAGTGCTGCTACATCGATTGAGGGTTTGGTTTGGCCAGGCAGTCTATCAATTAAAAAAAAAATTTAATATTTAAAACTTTTTCTGGTCTGGTTTATTAACGCGATCTTTAAAACTACAGTTTATGGGAAATATTTTTTGATGCTACACAAGAGACATGCAAGACTATATATATATATATATATATATATATATATATATATATATATATATATATATATATATTATATATATATATATATATATATATATATACAGGGCCGGCGCGAGTAAAGGTCACGTGGGGGGGTGACTTTACCGACTAACCTATCGATAGGGTCTACATTTGCCGACTAACTAGTCAAAAAGGTTCACATTTGCCGACTAAGGGTAAAATTTGCCGACTAAAAATCATTGATGAGGGGGTGTTACACCCCCCTATCGCGCCGGCCTTGTATATATATTATATAAATAAAATTTGCAAAAACAAAAAAAAAAAAAAAAAATTATATTAACTAATAAAATTACTCCCGCACGGGGAATCGAACCCCGGCCGCCTGGGTGAAAACCAGAAATCCTAGCCACTAGACCATGCGGGACATGTTCATTTGGAAGATATTACTTATTATATATAATACATTCTAGCAAACACTTGATTATAATCATATTAATTACATCCCAGTTGACACGGGACCTAAAAAAGACGTCTTTTGAACATTTAATGTCTACTGGGATCAGTAATGGATCTGTGAAGGAGGAGGGGGGGTGG